TTTTTTTTTTTAAGTGCTCAACCAAGTCAATGAATAATGAGATCAAACAACAACTTGGATGACAAGAAAATAAGAATATGTGTATAACACTCATGAAATGAAGCACAAGGCTCAAAGCTCACATTATATGGTTATACAAGTCTAATTCATGCTTGATACAATTCTTTGGATCATGCAAGTCCCTTAACTGGAGAATTATGAAACAAATGGCAAGTGCATAGAGTGGTTCAAACATATCATGCTAGAACGATGCCATTCAGTGAATAAATTTTTATTTTATTTTTTTTATATAGATATTTTCAATCTTATTTTTTTTATATAGATATTTTCAATCAAGTCATGTAAACATTCATCACAATCTCATCTTATGTGTCCGGAAAGTGACTTGAAAACAAAATGACTCAAAACTGAAAAGAAAACAAACTAAAAGAAAGCAAGAAATTAAGTGAAACGAAAATAACACTTGCTATCCCTTCCCAAACTTAGAAATAAACATTGTCCTCAATGTTGAAAAATTTAGGCATAAGAAAAGTTTATAACAAGAAATGAAAGGGATTTAAAGTAATTAAATAAAAGAACAAACAAGAATTAAAACTACAATTTAGTTGCAAAAACAAAACAAAATCAAACGGAACAAAACCAAACCAAATACAACAGTAAGCCCTAACAACAGTTCTACGCACGCAGAAATCCAGCCCATGAGAACGTTCAAATCAATTGAAAACCCAACCCAAACGAAAGCCCAAACACTTCTTTTATTATTATTATTATTATTAAAAATTAAAGAAAACAAAGAAGCGTTGTCAGAAGCGCAAGGAACGAGATTTCTGAAAAGAGAGAAGAGGGACCAGATGTTTCGTTTACTGATAGGTCACGGGCCAAAAGAGGTGAGGGACATGTCAGCGTGCAGAGGCCGCTTTTACATCCCCCAAGCCAGAATTATTGGCTTCGTAGGAAGGCGCGGCGACTTTTTATTGTCAGAGTGTTATAAAAAGCTTGAAAAGGGAGAGGTCAAGGATAGTGGAGGTGAATCGACACCAGCTAGAAGTATTGCGGGACGAGAATAAAAACCTATCAAAGATGGTAGAGTTGTACTCTCGAGACATGCGAAAGCAGCTGGAGGACCTAGACCGACCAGGGAAACGCAAGCAATCAGATCGCGAGAGAAGTTTTGCTGAAGCGAAGATTGCGATCTTTGGGAGCTCAAGTGATGAGCCCCAAGAGGCTGTGCGTGAAGACCCTGGAGAGGACATCCAGAGGGCCAAACTCAAAGCTCCTATGGTCGAGACACCAAGCACCGAGAAGAAATGATTTCCTACTGCATTATTGTTGTTTTTATTTTATTTTATTAGTTTGCTTTGTTGTTTCGCCCTTCCCCTGTATTTTTCATTTTCATTTTGTTTCACTCTTTTTTTTTTTCAGAAATAAAAGAAATTAAGTTGCAAAAGAAAGAGTAGCACACTTCCCAAACAAAACAAAGATGACAGCCGAAAGGGAAAACACACTTCCCAAACTTAAAATAAAACAAAGCAAAACAACAAAGCACCAGAAAATGAAAGTAACGGGCAAAAACATAAAACACCAGAAAACACGGAGGTAAAAAGAAAAGTAAAGTGAAGCGTAGGGATTCGAGAAAAAAGGGCAACGGCTGGATAGCAATCTGGAGATCCGAAGTGGATGTCGGCTCCCTCATCAGTAGATGTCTATTTAAACCGTGCATTGGTTAAGTGTTGGAGTACCCTTCATTTCTTCCTGCTAACTCAAGAAAAACCATCAAATAATTCAGAAACAAAACAATGGCATCCTCATGCGCTCACCTTGATGATCTCAACCTTGAATTGTCCCTTGCACCTCCAAATGCCCAGATAAGGGCTCCTCCAAACCCTGTCTTCCCAAACTCTACATATCATCACGGCACGGCCTCAAACTTTGCTGAGGCAATACCGAACTTTGCTGAGGCAAGGCCGAACAGAGCAGTGCTGCTGGGAGGCATGATTGGCAGCAAACTCACACTTGCAGATCATTGGCATATAGCACACAGGTCTGACAATGTGGCAGTGGATGAGTCCCACACTTTTACCGCGCTCCAAGCGGTCTCGGCCACAAATCTGGGCTTGCGCCTACTGGCGAGGACGCGGGAGTGTTCAGCACTGAGTGAGGAGGTGGCCTCCTTGAAAGCTCTGGTGGCGGACTTGCAGAAACGGCTCTACTGTGCCAACCAGAATGTAGAAGCACTGCAGAAGAGAAATAATGATCATGTCGAACTTTGCAGGTTCTACAAGTAAGAGCAAATAGAGGCAATTAGCATGATGCCTCAGGTGGCTCAGAATCTGGAAACAAACATGTGATTGATAAATTTATGTATGCATTTTCACTTTTGTGTATGTAATCACATGTTTATAAAATGAATAAGTATTTGAGCCAAATTTTTAAGTGTGCAATCATGAAGCAATCTACTTCCCAAACTTAACAACAAATTAAATACATAAACAAGTAAAAGAAAGAAAGAATTACATGTAATAAAAGCAGAGAGAGACAAGAAATTCGGAATTACCTTAAAAATAAATAAATAACAAAACAAAACTTCTAAACCTTACCCCCGAACCTAAATCAAACATTGTCCTTAATGTTTCAAAATAAAAGCATAGCAAATGTATGAAATAAGAGGGTAAATGATATAGAAAGATAATACCTGGAAAATATGCGTGTCCAATCCCCTTGGTATTTATCTATTGCAGAATTAAAAGACAATAATAAAAAAAATCCAAGCAAAAATAAATAAAAACTAAAATGAATTAAAACACACAAAAAGAAAACTGAAATCTATACAGACACAACAGAGTAATCAATCATGATAAACAGGTTTGTCAAGAAGTATCCCCTCTACTTCTGGGGATTTCAACTCAAAAAATGGTTTCAGTCTTTGACCATTCACTTTGAATATGTCACCATTTTTGGGATTTTCAATCTCAATAGCCCCATGAGGGTAAACAGTACGAACAATGAAAGGGCCTGACCAACGAGATTTTAGTTTACCAGGGAAAAGATGCAAACGAGAATTATACAGAAGGACTTTCTGACCATTCTCAAACATTTTTCGCAAAATTTGTTTGTCATGAAACACCTTCATCCGGGCTTTATATGTTTTAGCACAATCATATGCATCATTCCGAATTTCTTCTAATTCATTGAGTTGGAGTTTTCTTTGAATTCCTGCTTTATCTAGAGAAAAATTAAGTTGTTTCACAGCCCAGTAGGCTCGATGCTCTAACTCAACAGGCAAATGACATGCCTTTCCATACACAAGTCTATATGGGGACATTCCTATGGCAGTTTTGAATGATGTGCGGTAAGCCCACAAAGCATCAGTGAGTCTTAAAGACCAATCTTTCCTAGTAGGATTAACTGTCTTTTCTAAAATATGCTTGATCTCCCTATTTGATACTTCAACTTGACCACTCGTTTGGGGGTGATAAGGAGTTGCAACTCGATGTGTAATGCCATATTGTTTCATTAATTGCTCAAATGGCCTATTACAGAAATGTTTACCTCCATCACTAATAATAGCACGAGGTGAACCAAAATGAGAAAATATATTCTCTTTCAAGAAACGGACCACAACTTTATGATCATTTGTTTTGCATGCAACTGCCTCAATCCATTTAGACACATAATCAACTCTAACAAGAATGTACAAGTTACCGAAAGAGTTAGGAAATGGTCCCATAAAGTCAATACCCCAAACATCAAATATATCGACAATGAGGATAGGGTGTAATGGCATCATGTTTCTTCTAGAAAGACTCCCTAATTGTTGACAACGCTGACAAGCTTTGCAATATGAATAAGCATCACGAAAAAGAGAAGGCCAGTAAAATCCACATTGTAGGATCTTAGCGGCAGTTTTCTTGGCACTAAAGTGACCTCCACAAGCTTGGTCATGACAAAAGGATAGGATATTGGTCTGATCATATTCTGGAATGCATCTCCTTATGATCTGATCGGGGCAATACTTAAATAAATAAGGATCATCCCAAAAGAAATGTTTGACCATGGCTAAAAACTTTGATTTATCTTGCTTTGACCAATGAGAGGGCATCTCACTAGTAACAAGATAATTTACAATATCAGCAAACCAAGGAATGGATGAGACATGCATAAGCTGCTCGTCAGGAAATGTTTCAGTGATTGGAATGGAATCCTCACTGGACTCAACAATTAGTCTAGACAAGTGGTCTGCTACAACATTCTCAGAACCTTTTTAATCCCGAATTTCAATGTCAAATTCTTGAAGCAAAAGTACCCAACGGATAAGACGAGGTTTAGCATCCTTTTTAGACAAAAGGTACTTCAACGCTGCATGGTCTGAGTAGATAATGACTTTAGATCCTAAGAGATAAGATCTAAACTTGTCTAAGGCAAAGACAACTGCTAGCAGTTCTTTCTCAGTGGTAGAATAATTGAGTTGGGCATCAGAAAGAGTTCTACTAGAGTAGTAAATGACATGGGGAAGCTTGGCAATCCGCTGTCCCAAGACAGCACCAATCGCATAATCAGAAGCATCACACATGATTTCGAAAGGAACACTCCAATCTGGAGGACGAATGATGGGTGCAGAAGTCAAAAGTGCCTTGAGTTTTTCAAAAGCATGATTGCAATCATCACTGAAGACAAAAGCAGAATCTTTGGCAAGCAAGCTACACAAAGGACGAGAGATTTTGCTAAAATCCTTGATGAACCTACTGTAAAATCCAGCATGGCCTAGGAATGATCTAATTTCTCTCACAGTTCATGGAGGTGGAAGATTTGAAATCAAATCTACCTTGGCTTTGTCAACTTCTATACCATCAGAAGAAATTACATGTCCTAGCACTATCCCTTTTTTCACCATGAAATGACATTTCTCCCAGTTAAGCACAAGATTCTTCTCTTTGCAACGAATTAATACCAGAGAAAGATGGTGCAAACATTCATCAAACGATGATCCATATACTGAAAAATCGTCCATGAAAACCTCTAAGAATCGTTCTACCATATCAGAGAATATAGAGACCATACACCGCTGAAATGTAGCAGGTGCATTACACAACCCAAAGGGCATGCGTCTGTAGGCAAATGTTCCAAAAGGGCATGTGAAGGTGGTTTTTTCTTGATCCTCGGGTGCAATAGGAATTTGGTTATAACCAGAATAACCATCTAAGAAACAATAATATGCATGACCTGCTAACCTCTCCAACATCTGGTCAATGAAAGGTAGAGGAAAATGGTCTTTCCTAGTGACAGAATTCAACTTTCGATAGTCGATGCATACACGCCATCCAGTTCGGACTCGTGTAGGAATAAGCTCATTTTTCTCATTTTTGATAACTGTGATACCAGACTTTTTTGGCACTACTTGCACAGGACTCACCCACTTACTGTCAGAAATTGGGTATATCACCCCAACATCTAAAAGCTTTAATATTTCATCTCTAACAACATCCTTCATGGAAGGATTCAACCGCCTTTGTGGTTCTCGGGAATTTTTGGCATTGTCCTCCAGATGAATCCTATGCATGACAACAGAAGGAGCACTACCTTTAATGTCAGCTATAGACCACCCTATGGCTTCCTTATGTTTTTTAAGCATTTTGACAAGTTTACCTTCCTGTTCTTTATTAAGGTCCGAAGCTATGATTACAGGTAAGGTTTCAGAAGACTTTAAGAACACATACTTGAGAGTATCAGGTAATGGCTTTAAGTCCAGCTTAGGGGGCTCTATGATGGAAGGAAGTGGGGGTGACGTGGAAAGAGGAAGAGGTTCAACCTTAAGTTTCCAAGTGGGCGTTTCAGTATACGGAACAGAATCTAACAATGCATTGACTTCATCAAAAGATTTTTCGAAGTCAAAGTTAGCCCCAAAATGAGCTAAGCATGCCTCTAATGGGTCCTTAATGCTAGAGAAATGAAAAGAATCTTCCACCATAGTATCAATCAAGCTGATCTCGCTAATCTCTTCATCATCTGATGGTTGCTTGCTGATGTTGAAAATATTAAACTCAACAGTCATGTTGCCAAATGAGATATTCATGAGTCCATTCCTACAATTAATATTTGCATTGCATGTGGCAAGGAATGGACGGCCTAAGATGACTGGAATTTGTTTTTGACCTGAAGGTACAGGTTGTGTATGAAGGACAATGAAATCTACAGGAAAGTAGAATTTGTCAACCTTGATCAAAACATCTTTAACAATGCCTCTAGGGATTTTCACAGATCTGTCAGCTAAAGAGAGAGATACCCAAGTTGGTTTGATCTCTCCTAAGCCTAATTGCTTATACATTGAGTATGGCAATAAATTCACACTTGCCCCTAAGTCTAACAAAGCCGTTTCAATATGGTGATCACCTATCATGCAAGCAATGGTAGGACAACCGGGGTCCTTGTACTTGATAGGAATCCTATTCTCTATGATGGAACTGATATGCTCAGTTAGAAAGGCTTTCTTTGAAACATTTGTCTTCCTCTTGAATGTACAAAGATCTTTTAAGAACTTAGCATAGGAAGGAATTTGATTGATTGCATCTAGGAATGGGATGTTGATTTGAACTTGCTTAAACACCTCTAGGATATCACCAAACTGTGCACTCTTCTTTGAATTTGCTAACCGGTGAGGAAATGGAGCTTTTGGAATGAAATTCCTAGGAGTATCAGATGGAGTCGATGATATTGCATGAGGATGACTCTCTTTAGACTTTTGTGTTTTCATTTCTTTTAACTCATCCTTATCACTCAAATGTGGCTCTGAATCCTGATTATTAATTTGTTTCCCAGATCTAAGAGTGGTGATGGATTGAACATGTTCATTAGAATTTGGAGAACTTGATGGGTTATTAATCACAAACTGACCTTTTGGATTCGGCACAGTCTGACTAGGAAACTTACCTTTCTCTCTCTCTCCCACAACAGTTGCTAACTGGCCTATTTGTTGTTCTAACTTTGAAATGGCTTGAGTATTTTGTTGGGTGGAAGCTTTGACATCATTAATAGCCTGACCAGTTAATTGCATGAACTTTTGGATTGAATCCTCCAAAGAAGATGATTGTTGTTGCTGTGTTGCAACAAACTGTGGAGTGGGCTGAGGGACAGGAGGTTGACATAACTGATTATTTTGAGATGGGTTTCCTCCAGAATTTTGAGGTTGATTTGACATCCAAGAGAAATTTGGGTGATTCCTCCAATTTGGATTGTATGTCTCAGAAAATGGACTAGGAAACTGGTTCCTATAATAATTGAGTGCATTTGCCTGTTCATTGTTCTCAGCATAACCATGACTAGAAGGACATGTTTGTTCTGGCGTTGGGCTACAACACAAAGAGCAAATCTCAGTGTGGATTTTGTTGACAGAGTTCTTGTTTTGGCTCAATGCTAGAGCCTCAACTTTACGGGTCAAACTCTCTATTTTAATCCCGAGATCAGAATCGCTTCTAACTTCATACATCCCTCCTTTCTTAGGTTCCCTAATTTGCTTATCAAGGGTGTTGGAAAAATCCCATTGTTGAGAATTCACAGATAAGTTCTCAAGGAATTCATAAGCTGCAACTTCCCTAAGTTGTAAGAAAGCTCCTCTATTCATAGATTCAATCATATTGCGACTAGTCTGAGTTAGCCCATTGTAGAAGGATTGAACCAATCGCCATTTTTCAAAACCATGGTGGGGACATTTAAGAGTAAGGTCTTTGAACCTTTCCCAACTTTCGTAAAATTGTTCGCTTTCACTTTGTCTAAACTCAGAAATTTCTCTCCTAAGCCCATTGGTTTTAGACATGGGGAAAAATTTTGACAAGAACTTTTGTACAAGTTGGTCCCAAGAAGTTATGGAACCAGAAGGAAGGGAATTGAGCCATGACTTGGCCTTATCTTTCAAAGAGAATGGGAAGAGACGGAGTCGGACACTTTCATCAGAAAAGTTCTGAAATTTGAATGTTGAACAAATTTCAAGAAAATCTTTGACATGCAGGTAAGGATCCTCTCGGTCTAAACCATGGAAATTGGGCAAGAGTTGAATGACTTGAGTTCTCAACTCAAAGCTGGTTGCATTGGTGTTAGGTAACACTATGCAAGATGGGGAATTAGTGGTGACAGGAGCAAAGCACTCCAAGAGAGTTCTTTCTGGCTCAGCTTCTGCCATCTCAAACAGAGGGTTGGTTATCACAATCCTAGGTTTTCGTTCTTCCCTAAGCGTCCTTTCAATTTCTGGGTTGAAAGGTTCTAAGTTTAAATTTTGAGAACGACGACCAAACATAAAATACACAAGAAAATACAAAAATAACCACACAAATAAATAAGCAAAAATTATAGGTTTATTTATTTATTTATTTAAAAGCTCTAAACAAATCCTCCTCTTAAGAGCAAACTTAAGGATGACCAGTTAAAGGCTTCCAAAAATTACAGCCAGGTCTTTTCCGGGAAGGGTGGAGGGGTCACAATGGTCCCACTTAAAACCCAGTCCTTCTTAAACACCGAAGGTGCCTCCTTAAAGAACTTTCCTAGACACTGTAATATTTAGAAGTTTATTCACTGGAGTTACCACAAGTTAATGTCTTTCAAGAAGGGCCTATAAGTTTTAAATTTACTAATTTACTTATATGCGAGAAAAACAAAAATAAAACAAAAAGAAAATTCAAGCAAGAATTTTAAAAGAATAGTTAGAATTTTCTTACCAGGTGTCCAAGACGCACCTTTAATTTTCACTCCTCCAATAAAATCTTATGATACCTGTAAAAACAAGCACACAAATCAGTTCAAGCAATAGAAACAAGCACACAAATTGACAAAGAAATTAACTTTCTTAAAATAAAATAAAATAAAATATGAAACTTCTTCCAAGTCCAAAGCTGCACCAAAAGAAGCTTTGATGATACAACTGAAACAAAGAAATGAAGTATTAATACACAATGATATTACAATAGAAACAAGAGAATTACAAAATCTAAATTTGTTTATTTTTTTTTTTTAAAAAATTTTAATTTCGTTTGTTTTTTTAAAATTATTATTTTTTTTATAAAAGTTTTAGAAACAAAAGAAATGACAAAATCTGAATTTTTTTTTTTTAAAGTTTTATAATAATTATTTTTTTTAAAGTTTTATATATATTACAAAACTAAATTATAACTAGTGGAAGAATTTAATTAACCAGAATTTGATTAGTTTTCCGTTGCAATCCCCGACAACAGCGCCAAAAACTTCATATTTATATTTTATAATTTCATTTTTTTTTAAAGTTTTATATATATTACAAAACTAAATTATAACTAGTGGAAGAATTTAATTAACCAGAATTTGATTAGTTTTCCGTTGCAATCCCCGGCAACGGCGCCAAAAACTTGTTGTTCCTCAAAAGAGGTGTTTTAAAATTTATAAACTCGCAAGCGCACGAATCGAATATAGCATAAGCGTGTAAGAGCGAGATCGTACCCAAGGGATTGCGTGTAAAGATAGAAAACCAATTATACCCAAGTTAATTTCATTGCCAACCTAGTTGATTCAAATGGTGATTTGTTTGTTGATAAAGAAAATTAAATAAAGCATAAAACAAATATGGAAATGACAATAAACTGAAATTAAGATTTAAACTTATAAGAAAAATAACTAAGGTATTGGAATCCACACCATTATTCCATAAGATCCTAATTATTTATCTTTCAATTCCCATGGAGTAGCAATCTAGAAATCAATCTACTGCTTTCTCAAGATTTATCAATTAAGCTTGTAATTTATATCATAAGTAAATTCTCCTTCCCTTCATAAGTACAAATTCTAAGCATAAAATGTAAACAAAATTATTTAACTACAAAGGATCAAAGTTTCCTAAGCATCCTATGTGAAAAAAGTTTATTTGAATAACAAAATATCAAAGAAATTTGTTAACTAGAAATATAAACCAAGGATAAATTAATAGATTAATCCAAAGTCTTAACTACCACAAATACATGTTATATGTCACAATACATGACAGAAGTGGTGAAAGGAAGATTAATCTATTAATCATGTGAAGTGAAAATTATATTCATTGAACACCACAATATTTGAGAATTGAAGATAAAAACTAGAACTTTATTTAATAATGGTGTTTCATCCAACCTTAGTTAAGTATTTTAGTTAGACATAATTAAGAATTAAAACAAAACAAAGAAACTAAAATACATGAATTAAATGAGAACTAAGAAAGGTGAAGAACAATTTTAAGAGAGTTATTAGCTCTCGGTTCTTTCCTTTCCATCATTGTTCTCTTTCTCTCTCACTTTCTCTCTTCCTTTTAACGTGTGTTTTTCCCTTTGAATTCCTCTACACCACTCTCTTGAGAACAATCTGAAAATATATATAGCCTACAAGTGCCAACAAGTGCTGGCTGCCACCTCCATTTGTTTCCAAAGTGGTAACTCAATTCCAACTTGAATTGGTTTCCACCTTCCAACTCCATCACGTGAGTCCAACCAAGTTTGGCAGCCAACTTTTAATTCTTTAATGAGTTCTATCTTTATGAAAGATTGGGGTGGCAAAGTATCTACAAATATCTCACAACCTGAAGATATCTTGACAGTTGTTCCAGCAACTCCTTTGCTGCAACTATTTTTCTTACTTCACATTGCATCATTGGTGAGCTGTTGTAACATGCAGATCAGTTGGATAAGCTACACTTGTTCAATGGAGCTCAAATTTGGATATGTTCTAGTCAACATCCATTGGAACAAGTTTCATGAAG